GTATTACAATACACTGCTACTATTGGAAGTGTTACAATATACAATGTATTTAACTCTATGAAGTGTATTACAATACACTGCTACTATTGGAAGTGTTACAATATACAATGTATTTAACTCTTTGAAGTGTAACAGAACACGGTGTTTCTCTATGAAGTGAAACAAAACAGTGTAATTCTATAAAGTGTAACAGAACTTAATGAAGTGTGACATAACTTGGTGTAAATATATGAAGTGAAACAGAACACGATGTAACTCTGTGAAATGTATCAGGACAGTGTAACTCTTTGAAGTGTGATATAACTTGATGTAAATATATGAAGTGAAACAGAACACGATGTAACTCTGTGAAATGTAAAAGGACAGTGTAACTATTTGAAGTGTGACATAACTTGGTGTAAATCTATGAAGTGAAACAGAACACGATGTAACTCTGTGGAATGTAACAGGTCAGTGTAACTCTTTGAAGTGTGACATAACTTGGTGTAAATCTATGAAATGAAACAGAACACGATGTAACTCTGTGAAGTGTAACAGGACAGTGTAACTCTTTGAAGTGTGACATAACATGGTGTAAATCTATGAAGTGAAACAGAACACGATGTAACTCTGTGAAATGTAACAGGTCAGTGTAACTCTCTGAAGTGTGACATAACTGGGTGTAAATCTATGAAGTGAAACAGAACACGATGTAACTCTGTGAAGTGTAACAGGTCAGTGTAACTATTTGAAGTGTGACATCACTTGGTGTAAATCTATGAAGTGAAACAGAACACGATGTAACTCTGTGGAATGTAACAGGTCAGTGTAACTCTTTGAAGTGTGACATAACTTGGTGTAAATCTATGAAGTGAAACAGAACACGATGTAACTCTGTGAAGTGTAACAGGACAGTGTAACTCTTTGAAGTGTGACATAACATGGTGTAAATCTATGAAGTGAAACAGAACACGATGTAACTCTGTGAAATGTAACAGGTCAGTGTAACTCTCTGAAGTGTGACATAACTGGGTGTAAATCTATGAAGTGAAACAGAACACGATGTAACTCTGTGAAGTGTAACAGGACAGTGTAACTCTTTGAAGTGTGACATAACATGGTGTAAATCTATGAAGTGAAACAGAACACGATGTAACTCTGTGAAATGTGACAGGACAGTGTAACTCTTTGAAGTGTGACATAACTGGGTGTAAATCTATGAAGTGAAACAGAACACGATGTAACTCTGTGAAATGTGACAGGACAGTGTAACTCTTTGAAGTGTGACATAACATGGTGTAAATCTATGAAGTGAAACAGAACACGATGTAACTCTGTGAAGTGTGATATAATAGTGCAATTGTAACACAAATATATATGGTCATGTTCAATATGTTGGCATTATTTTTAATCACTTCAAAACCAGGTACCAGATTATGACCAACTTGAACAGGTTGGAGGTTTTGTTATCTTTGTTACATAAGTACTTTGTGTTATTGACTGTTTGTTATTGATTACTTTAAAAATGGAACAATTTGCTGTTGTTTGTTGATCACATATCGAACCAACGGTGTATCTGCATGTTATATCTACTCAACAAGAATCTTATTTTTAGCGTCAATGTCGAAACTGCCACATAATACGCCCTGAATGTTAAAAATAACGTTATATAAATGCTTATTATTGAACCATATTAAAACAATGCATTATGCCAGTCTATTATGTGCAGTGACTAACTTTCAAATCAAAATTACATAATTTGCTAATGGATCGTGTAGTTTTACACATTCGTTTTTATATATTTTTGTAAAATGTTTCCTTTAAAAGATCGACCAACAGGCACAAAAAAAAGGAATGTGTGGAGGGTTGCTAGGTGAAGGCATTTAAATAGCACAATATGTTTCCTATCAAATATTAGCATTGTAGAAAAAAAAAACAAATGTAAGCCACACATACAAAGCCATTTAATTTTAAAATACTGACATCACGGATACCAGCAGAGTAAAACAATGTAAGCCATTATGAGAAATATGAGCTGGAAACTCATTTACTTTGATAAATGAAAACAACGAAAACATTAGCGACATATCAGTAGAATCTCCGTTAATCTTATATCAGCAAAAAATCGAAGTAGGTAATTACAACAAAAAATCTCCTCATAATGTTCGCCAGCCTGCATCTCCCGAAACCCTGTGCCTTGACTTTGTAAGTCAGATGTCGACATCTTTCGCGAAATTCGTGATATCGGGAACAAGTTGTTGGATATCGAATCAGCTTCGACATGTTAACACCATCAATTTGGGATGCATGGGTTGTTGCTATCCAAAAATGGAAAATTCGCAGTAGAGAATTTACAATGCTGTTCCCTCTGGTTTCGCTGAAGGAGAGATCGAGATAAGTAGCTTATGTAGAAGAGGGTCTTCCATGTCCTTGATTTCCAATTCTAATGGATATACAGTGATTTGTGACAATATAGCATTGTCAGTAAATTTTCAATGACAAAACGCCATCAATAAATCTGGAAATGAAATTGAGGGTTTTCGTGCTTTGAAAAGCTGTTATACACATGCAGCGCCATAGAAAACAAAAACAAGTCAACAAAGAGAGGGCGCAGTATAAATGAATACTCTATTGGGAAATCTTTAGAATCCAATGCATGTAAAGGCTCTGGTATTTCGCAGTCATCACATTGTAGCTAAGAGTTACTGTAATGACCGAAAATTCCGACCTTACCAAGGGAGGAAACTCGAGCCTGAATTTACATTCAAATGAGATTAATTTAACAGTTAATCTGTATTACAACGGTTGCGATACAAAGTTTAGCAACCTATATTGTAAACGTTTTACCTTACAACATCACAGAATAACAAATTGTGTCGTAGGTTATCTAACTATAACCAGATCTCTGTTTATGCTTTGTTGCCTTTAGTATGGTGTTGAGCTTTATCTGTTTAGCTGCTTTACATTCCCCTGAAATAGATATTACCAGGAAAATTGAATTCCATTTGGCTATGAATTCAAGTGATCACGTGTACTTTTTGTTACAATATTATATGTTGCGCGTAGTGACCTAAAATACTTTTTAAGGGGAATCCCTCAACAGCCACGGTGTTTTCCCATATATATATATTGACACGGCTTGAAAACGTTAGCGATAATCAAGTTGAATTGCCCAGTTCGCCTTTTATGTTTAAATATATAAACATTTTGGATGTGTACCTTATATCAATACACCCTAAATGTATTCTACAAGTGAAACCCCTTGCTGACAGCGTGTCTGTTAGTGTGTTGATTGTCTTTATCTGGAGGGGAAAAAAAAAAAAAAACATACTGATATAAAAAAATATATATATACATACTATATTTACTAAATAGAAACCAACTCTTCCAAAAGGCATCTCACATTTATTAAGAATTTCAACATACGTCTTGTACATCTTTTATTGTTTTTACATTTCAAAGTAAATTCCATCACATTGATACAAATTATCAGTACAGTTACAACAACGATATCTTCTCAATTGAATTTTTAGCATTTCATTATTTAAAACAACTCCTAAACCATGTAATGTGTGCTGAACAGCATGGTTGATTACAACGGAAAACAACGTGATTTTAAACCAAACAAGTTAAAATCCTGTCACTCTTCATTTCGTGTCATGATACGTTGTCCATTTAACGAAGTAGATTATTAGATTTAAGCCAGATGTGGTGATGCCGTTAAATTCGTGAAATATTATGACGCATTCATTAATTTAGGAAGAAGATATAACTAAATGACAATAACAAGATGGGTATTTCCAAGCTCGTAGATCTGATTAAACTCTTACATACCATGAAGACAAAAGAAACTCCAGATCATATAAATGGTTCTGGTGTCGGAAGGTATAATAGATATGGCAATCGTTTTATCCATACATTTAAACAGTTTTACATACTTCAGGGATAAAACAAACATACTTCAGATCATGTGAATGTTTCTGGGGTCGGAAAGTACGGTGTACTCGGCAATCGTGTCACCAAGAGCACTATGCTGTTTATATACACTAAGGCTTTATGTAAGTATCACAGAAAATGACAAAATGAAGCATACAGTTATTAAACGGTGTTACCGACTCTATGATCAATAAATAAACGCTTTACATAGCTATATCATCAAACAAAATGTTTTCTTCAAAATCACCAGGAAAGGGGAAAGTTAAGTGCAATAAAAAAAATGAATAAAATTTCTCATAGAAATTCAGATGTAGTTAATATTTTTGTTGATTTTGGATGTCTAATGTATACTGGCTGGGCGTTGCCACCTCCTCCTCGGTTTATGACGGCGATGATAGGCACAACCTGTTATACTGCCAGGCTCCATAGCTTAGTGCCAGACAGAGGTAAAGATAAATAAGTTAGTAATATCAAATTTACAATATTTTTTGTATCTACGGCGATAACCATTAATTCCTACATAGCATGTGCGCAAATTTTTCACCCCCATGAAGGCGATGTAAGAATCTGCAAGTATAATCTGTTATTATGTTGAACATTATGTTGATTTCTTTTTATGAAAAAAAAAATGTGTTAATGAAATATCTTTATATGTAAAACACCAGTTAAGACAAATCAAAAATGAATGTGAGAAGTAGAATGTGAAATTGTGTTCACGTATATGTAGATCATTACTTTTCTTCTAATCAAATCTGAGTATTTCTATTTCTGAGTACTAAATAATCCAATATTGAAAATATATAAGATTAACTGAAATATTAGGTGTGCCACCTCATTTACATTTCATCTATTAAAACCAATATTGACCTTTCTCGGTCACATCTTATTTCATCCTTCTGGGCTGTTTTCATTACAATGAGCCTTACAAGGATGAAACAGCTGTATGCAATTCAGTTCCTTACGAGACTCTGCCGTATGTAATTTTAAATTAGTATTGAAATGTGCTACTTGTGAGAGTTTTTAAAAAAGTCCTTCCTGAAGACAAAGATATGTATTTTAAACGTTTAAGTATTATGACGATTTGACTACCGTATGCTCATGATGGTTTCTGTAAAATAATTGTAATTACTACAATATTCTCCCATGGTTGCCATTGTATTCCGTAACCCATAGCCCCCGTTAATGTTCAGCCATGTACACGATTTAAACCACCAGCCTCCTTTACGTTGAGACGCACAATTTGATCTATCTCGATCTTTGGCATGAAACTCCATACCGTCATTGTACGTAAACGTATAGGTACACATTCCCGCGGAAGCCACGTGACCAGACACGTGCAGTTTGTAATAGGCCGCAGAATCGTCAATAGTAAAGGAGCTATATTGTAATAACAGCCATTGATTCGTATCTTTGCGTAAATCGAACTTGACTGACCGGGGTTGTCTTGTCATGATATATATATACTCAAGACCAAGCCAGAATTCTCCGTGAAGCGAGCCGAAACCGTCCACATAATCCTGGTAATTGCGACTGAAGACCTCTGTATCGTTAACACGATGTTGTAGTATTGTCCATCCTCCTCCTGTCATGTCACACATGACTTGGAACACCAAACCTGTTTCTGTTGTCATCTCATAGATGCCGTCTTTTGTGTGACCCAAATCGAGTAACTCCAAGCACGCTAAAATGCAATAACAAAGTACATCAGAATATTAACGTGAGAAACAGGTTATTGTATACTCAGTTACGCATTTCTATCATTGTACCTTCAGCGCAACTTTCCATGAAACGCTAAGACATTGCTAACTTATGAACACTGAAACCGTTACGCTCTGCCTTGCACACATTATCATAAAAGTTCGTCAACCGTGTTTTTACTGTTAAAAGCAGCTCTGTTGGTGATCTAAAAGATATATATTTTTTCCAATTTGACTGAAAGCATTGTTAGTTGGCGAGGTTTCCACGTTACACATATATAGGGATTGACATTACCAGATAAGAGAAATCTTCCTAATGTTTTTATCTTAACAATATCTTAGAAAATTTATTTTTATATACCACATTTATATGGAATCACGTCGAATCATGAAAGAGAAAAGAAGGCAATCCCTTTAAATGCTAAGATCCTCATCTTTTATCTTTGTTTTCTTTCATTTTCCCCCTGAATGATCGTACTTAAATCACAAAAAAATGTATGCAATTAACATGAAGAGGCATAGAGTTGAATAGAGAGAAACAAACTTATAAAAGCTATCAGAGTAAGCTTCATAGTACCCCGACTTTAGGTCATAACATTGTAACATTGAATATGTTCACCTTGTGACTATATATCGCTATACATGTTCTCGTGTAGACAGACGAATTTAGTATTACTAATTAATACATACAACTAAGTGTAACTAAGGTGAATGTTTTGTAGTGAAACAAATTGAAAATGTTTGGGAAAGTTTCCATCAAGTTTCTGTTTATGTACTTCAAAAATAGACAGAAAAAACCTTCACATACGGTAAAGAGACACAAGTCACAAAACAGTTACCCAGAAACACCCTCACACACGGTAACGAGACACAAGTCACAAAACAGTTACACAGAAACACCCTCACACACGGTAACGAGACACAAGTCACAAAACAGTTACACAGAAACACCCTCACACACGGTAACGAGACACAAGTCACAAAACAGTTACACAGAAACACCCTCACACACGGTAACGAGACACAAGTCACAAAACAGTTACACAGAAACACCCTCACACACGGTAACGAGACACAAGTCACAAAACAGTTACACAGAAACACCTTCACACACGATAACGAGACACAAGTCACAAAACAGTTACACAGAAACACCTTCACACACGATAACGAGACACACGACACAAGAATGCTGTTTCAGCCAAATGATAATCTGTGGAACCGTTTCGCGTCATACACAGGAACACATATATCACAACAGATACTACATTTATTATAGATATATTCCCACAATACTACACACTGCAATAAGGTTATGCGTCAGTAGGTTAAGCTCAGTGTTGTGTCGTTTTGGATAGTCCAATATTGAATACTGTATGTGTAAAACAATGTAATTCGTAAGGTCACTTAAGATGAAAATCCGATCGGACAATCACTTAAAACTGATAAGACAAGCGCCAGTTTTGAAGTTCAGTGAACATTGGAACAATATTCATTCTGCAGTTTATAAAATGACTTTCCATTCTACCAGCATCATTGTGGAACACACCCGGATTTAATGAGATATAGTTAATAGTAATAATTAATAAGAATGATTTTAAACAATAAGATGTTTCCAAGGGAATTATTTCCTAAATAAACCAAGATATTGATATACCCAAATAAAAAATATGATGACGAGTGGTACCTGTGATCTGTGTGATGTGTTTGAAAGGACCCTAGCTGTAGAGTATAATTTCATATCGGTGGGTTAGAGTTCCAAGTGATCAACTTAAATTGCATTCAGCGGGTTAATTTGTTCAGCAATGATACGGTCCTTATTTACAAAACATATCCATGTGTATCTGTCATAGATATGATCTCGGTTTTTTTCTCAGCTGCCTGTTTGACTTCAACAATTCACGCCCATAGCACTACTTACGAGTCGTTGGATGTAGTATGGAATATAGCTAATTATTTTGTTATGATATTTCTGATTTTCATGTTGTATTGAACTGTGTTATTCGCTTGTGTAACCACTGAGTGACAAAGCCTGACCCAAATAATAAAACGTTTTCGAATTTTTGCAGCAGAGACCGTTATCGCAATATAACGTCTCACTGAACACAGAATATCTTTAACAATACAACACATTTCATGTTAGTAGAGCAGCAAATTATGCTCTGGTAATGGAATTGAATATTTTCCTATAGCAAGCGGATTTTGCTCGTGCATATCGTCTCGTCAAACATACTTGGTAATATAGGGCGTTTGTGTTGGAGTATGAATACCTAATTTCATAGTCATCCAGTTATGATGAAGAGCTCACTGAATAAAACATTTAAGCGCAACAAGATGTTAATTTGATGCTAATGGTCTATTAGATTATGTAATGGTCTTTATCATATTTGTCAACATCTTACAGGACAATTATATGCATTAATCACATGGTGTGGACCACAGGACACACAGGACATTGTACTGGGTACAAGACACAGGGTACATGGTGCGAACCACATGACACACAGGACATTGTACTGGGTACAAGACACAGGGTACATAGTGCGGGGTACAGAACACACTGGTCATTGTACTGGGTCGAGACACAGGGTACATGGTGCGGGGTATAGAACACACAGGTCATTGTACTGGGTCGAGACACAGGGTACATAGTGCGGGGTACAGAACACACAGGTCATTGTACTGGGTCGAGACACAGGGTACATGGTGCGGGGCACAAGACACAGAGGGCATTGTACTGGGCACATGGTGCGGGGTACAGAACACACAGGACATTGTACTGGGCACAAGACACAGGGTACATAGTGCGGGCCACAGGACACAGGACATTGTACTGGGTACATGATGCGGGTCACAAGACACACAGGACATTGTACTGGGTACAAGAAAAAGGGCCCATGGTGCGGAATAAAGAACACATGGTACATATTATGGGTTAAGGACATTGAATACATGATATGGGGTAAAGGACACAGGCTACAACATGCTACGGGATAAAGAGCCAAGGGTATATGGTATGTGGAAAAGTACACAGGGTACATGGTATGTGGAAAAGTACACAGGGTACATGGTTCGGTGTACACGATACAGGGTACATGGTATGTGGAAAGTACACAGGGTACATGGTATGTGGAAAAGTACACAGGGTACATGGTTCGGTGTACACGATACAGGGTACATGGTATGTGGAAAAGTACACAGAGTACATGGTATGTGGAAAAGTACACAAGGTACCTGGTTCGGTGTACACGATACAGGGTACAAAGTAGGGGTAAAAGGCTCATTTGCACACAATGCAAGAAACAAATATTATTTTTAAAAAAATCCCGAATCATGAAAGAATACGTACGCGTCTTTGTAACAGAGTTGTATGTCACGGATGTCAGCGAACTTTGAGATCCTCCAGCATCGCTATTCTTACTATAGAATAAGGTTCTCTGCTGAGGTAGAAAGGTGTACAGCGTGTCGTTTGACTTATCAACATCATAACACATGCACAAGTTGGTGTCGATATGGAAAGTCAGTGATTCTGAAAACCCAGTCCTGTGGCAAGCTATCACACACTTCTGCACGTCAGAGCATGTTGTCGTAATATTTGGAGAGTCAAATGCTCTATCTGATGCTGACAAAATCCGTTTCCAAGCCGACCGCGTTGCTGATTCCGAGTCTGCAAATTTAAGATTGAAAATGTGCTGAATTCTTATCAAGAAATACTTGGCAAAACAGAAACATGCCCTGATTGAAATTGAGATGAGCATCAACCAATTAATACTAATTAAGAGAAACATGTAGGTCAATGCGACCCAGGTTTCACACAATTTCACCACTTTTAAACGTTGATGGTTCTCATACGAGATATAAGATATTTAGAAAACAGAGCTAAGCGGAAAGTTCGCCAGTTGTGAAGCGATGTGACACAAAAATGTGTAAATATGATTATCTTTCTGTGTTTTGTGTTTCTACCACATCATTTACGTTCAGATTTGAATTACAGTGGCTATGTTGATGTTTTGAGATCCAAATATTTCATGTGATTCATTTGAACTTTACTAGATAGGGTGAAGGAACGAAACACGAAATTTTCTGAAGCAAGAAAGAAATTCTAATACTGATCAGTAATTGGTAGAATATTTAGATTTTTGACCCTGTATAGCCATTTAATTATCTTTATTAAAATCAAAATATTTTAATTTCACGATGTATATTCAGTACATTAATTATGAAATTAAGAAAAAGGTTACAAGCATCATCATGAAAGTCAGAAGACGCAAAAGTGTTATTAGTCAGGATGTAATACCAGTGGTATTATAAAACCTATTCACAATCATCAGAGAAACAAATATATCTTATATTCATTGTAGTAGAAATGTTAATTTTCTCCGAAACCAAAATAATTCTGTAATATTTTTGTTACTAGATGAAAGTTCACCTCCAACTGGATCAGACTTTTCTTAACTTTCAAATGAAATCTTACCATCAACGTTTTTCTTTATCGGAACTCTTCAAAAAGAAAACAAAATACTGAATTATTGCTATGTTTTAACCTGATTAGATTCAGACTTCATAGTATACTTACACTGCCATTGAAGAAGACATATAATAATTATCCATAATCTAGACATTTTTCTTTGTTATATGTTATCTCCTCTGCGTAGATAGATGAGTGGCCAGCTAATGTTAAGCTGGCTCTGGATCGGCACCGTATCATGTAGTCTGGGGGATGATCAATACGATGGAGACTTGTGATTGGCTAAGCAGTCGTCGCTCTCTTAAATAACATGCTAGTCATGCTAATTCAAGTTTCATCGCCTGAAAGTCAGGGAGACAATGATTGGCAAAGTCGCCGGGATGGAAAACCTGTAAGCGAAAAAACCATCCAACTGCTAATTTAACAGCATCGATTTATGAGCAGTTGTTTCCAACAGAGGTGTACTTAGGCCGACCACAATATGCTCAACATATAGTTGAATTTATTTACACATTTATACAATGCCACCTGACTATAAAGGCCACGTTTTGGTTCCCAATATCATGCTATTCATTATAAGCGGACCTCCATATGAAGGCCGCTGTGTATAAGTTTGTATTAAAGACACACATGTGAATAGTACCCTTTAATATAAATTAAGAATTAGACACAATAGAGCCAAACGATGAATTAAACTTCATCATACAGCCGTTTCGTCCTTCCAGGATTTGTTAGTGATGCTAAGGGCCCTAAAGTTTGAAGCAATGGGGGCGACTACGAAAAATGTAATGTGATCAAAAAACGTCAAAATCTAGACAGGAGATGCACTATCCTCATAATACAATACATTTTGTGATATTCATAGATAAGATATCTTACAGTAGTGTCAAGTTTATAGGTATATTCTGAAGTGTGTCACTATTCAAATGAAATACAAAGTAACATACGGCAAACCTCGGGGACTTACAAGTCCACCCGCAGTGCCTACAACCTGCTATCTCAAACATTCCACAAATAAAGACCACGTTTATCAATACTATTATATCCATTACCAAAAAATCTGTTGTAAAAGTATGCTTATCAGTGAAAATTTATTTATTTATTTATTTTTGCGTAACATATACAAATAATATTCAATATGAAGATTGATATATGATAGTAACCGGTGCAGCTATATGAATTTGCTCATGACTTCTAACCACATTGGAAATATTTTGTCAGATTTTGTCTCCCTGACCTCTCGGCTAATAGTGCTCTCTGCTCTGAAGGGACGTTACTGCCTGATCTCTCAGTTGTTAGTACGACGCTTCCTCTTCTCTCTCTCGGCTGTCAGTACGACGCTTTCTGCTCTCTCTCTCTCGGCTGTCAGTACGACGCTTCCTGCTCTCTCTCTCTCTCGGCTGTCAGTACGACGCTTTCTGCTCTCTCTCTCTCGGCTGTCAGTACGACGCTTCCTGCTCTCTTGGCTGACGGAACGTTACTCCCTGATCTATCGGCTGTCAGTACGACGCTCCCTGATCTATCGGCTGACGGAACGTTACTCCCTGCTCTCTCGGCTGACGGGACGTTACTCCCTGCTCTCTCGGCTGACGGGACGTTACTCCCTGATCTATCGGCTGTCAGTACGACGCTCCCTGATCTATCGGCTGACGGAACGTTACTCCCTGCTCTCTCGGCTGACGAGACGTTTCTCCCTGCTCTCTCTCGGCTGTCAGTACGACGCTTTCTGCTCTCTCTGCTGACGGGACGTTCCGCCCTGATCTCTCGGCTGACGGGTCATTATTCCTTGCTCTATCGGCTGACGGGGCGTTATTCTGTACTCTATCGGCTGATGAGAAGACACTCCCCTCTCTCCCGAGTGATGGGGCGATGCTCCATCCTCTCTTGGTTGATGGGACATTGTTCTCGGGTCTGACGGTTAATTGATCAATGTCTCCAATATTTGCGACACATGGATCTTGTTCCTTTTCATCACAGCTGATGGGACGTTGATCTTTTTTTTTCTCCTTTTAAGGTCGGTTTGGCAGTGTTCCATATATTCTCGGCTAAATCGACATCGTTTCCTGTTTTCACAGCTAATCGATTAATTTTCCCTAATTTTATTGCTGTCTGATGATACTATGTTCTCTATGATTCGTTTAAGGATTGAATCTTGCTTATGTCGATTTCATGGGATGATGAATTGAGTTGGTCTTGAGACAAATTTCATGAACTGTGGAGTGTAAAGTTACAGTTATCAAATGTTGAATTGGACAAGAAACCAGCAGTTGCTTGAAACGATGAGACGATTTGTTGAGATAGCTGGCTGTTATTGTTTTCTCCCCTTACCTAATATTTGTACGTTTTTTCTCCCTATGTGTCCTTATCCTGTCTGATTTTGTTTTGTTTTTACCATTCTTGACTGATGTAGCAATATTCCGTATTTTCTGGGTTGAATGGGCGTGTTGTCAAAATTGCACTACTGAAAGAACGTTATTACAAATGTTAGATATAGAATGGGTTATTCTCATTTTCTTGGCTGATGGAGTAACATTCGGAATGCTCCCGGGTTATAGACTAATTTTGTACATTCTCGGGTGATGAACCTTATTTCTATTCTTCAAAATTGGAGATGGTAGACACTGTCTATGTACGTTAGGTCCCCGATGTTTGGTTCCCGCCTCTTAGATATCAAAATATTTCGCTAGCATCAGTAGGAAATAGTTTTAGTATTTTAGTATGTATCTTAATTGTTCATTATTCTCTTCTCTATATTATATCTCATCCTATATGTGTGTCTTCTGTAAGATGTTTGGTTTTCCTAAGTTGCCTCACAGGTTTCAAAGTTTAGGCCAGTGGCATCAATGCAATGACTAACCCTAGGAAGACAAAATAACTGTAAGGTGCAGTTTAATTCATTATTTGGTTTTATTATCTAATCCTAATTTTAAACTAAAAGATTCTACATGTATTCCTTTGATGTGTCTTTGATGCAATATCCTCTCATGATTAGAGGCTTTGCCAACTTCTTTTTCTTTTGATGAATCTTTCCCCTATGTTGCTGAACTTTTGTGTTACTTGATTAATGTAATACTTCATCTCATTGAACGTCTAAATTGAGAACTGCGACATAAAAATATCATTCGAGAATGCTTATTGCAACGTCATTATCAAGCATAACAATATAGATATTCGATTGGTGATGAGTGGGACGTGTTAATAAAATTCCGCTTTGGATGCCAAATGATCAAACATAGCTTTTGTTGTACTTTAATGTGCTTGTCAGCCGAAAAAAAAACCGGATTTTAATTCGACGCGCAAAGTACACGTTGGCAACCTCGGTTATGTATGCATGATCAGATAAGATGTATTGATGCATGATATTAAAATCCTAAACAAAGTACATATTTAATTTTTAAACAGAATATAATCCACTCTCTTTAATGTAATGAAGTTACAATGAGCTATGCAGGTACACCACGCATATTACATATTGGTCTTATAAATTGCAATTTATTTATTTATTTTTTGATAGTGTGATATATCAGGAAGGAAACATTATACTCTTGGTGATGTGAAACTCGCCCTCGTATATCCTATCAAAATCGGACGAAATAATACATTAAATTGCCTTTATTTTTATCCTTACTACAAGGTATTAAGCCAGGGACACACTGATAGATACTCTATCCAGGTATGGTACAGACCCGATATCACTGGAGTGTGAACTAAATGGTTGACCAGTCAGAATAATATTTGATGGTATGATACATGGCCTCAATATAGTGTTGACTCAATGGTTGACCAGTCAGAATCACATTTAATGATACAATACATGACCTAATATAGTCTTGACTCAATGATTGACACGTCATCATCACATTTAATGATACAATACATGACCTCAGTATAGTGTTGACTCAATGATGACCAGTCAGAATCACATTTAATGATACAATACATGACCTCAGTATAGTGTTGACTCAATGGTGACCAGTCAGAATGAAATTCAATGATACAATACATGACAATAGAAAAGTGTTGTAT